ACACACACACACACACACACAACGATGGGCAGGGGGAGATCACACATGAAACAACAGCCCAACAAACACAACTTGACCGTTTGTTTAAAAATCGTTCCTAATAGTTGGAGCCGGCCGGTCTGGTGACTTTTGGGGGCTGACTCATGATTTCGGGTGATTGGTGACACTGCAGCTGCGCCAGCCTCTCCTCCCCCCCGCCCGGCTTGGGTGCAGCTGGTGCTGGGTAGGGGCTGCTCCTCCCCCGGGTGCTGCCAGCCGCCCCTCACCTTCTCGCTCTCCTCGTCCTGCCCCAGGTACAGGGTTCGCTCGGGCAGCGTCAGCCCATCCTGGTCAATCTGCAACAGAACAGAGGAGCCATGTTCGTGCCCGGCCTGGGTACCCGGAGCCCCGCCTCCCGGGGCCGAGGGCGACCTGGGGTCCCCTCCGCTCCCTGGCTAATGGAGGAGCAGGGAGAGGTGGGGGGCTCAGTCTGTGTGGCCGTTCGGGATGGGGGGTCCTGTCTGCGAAGGGGGCGGGTGGATGTGCTTTGTCTGGGGCTCGGGCAGGAGGAAGGTCCGGTTGCCAGGGCAGAGTCTCAAGAGGGAGATTTAATATGGGGAGAGGCTCCCCTGTGTGTGCTCTGGGGCCCTGTGGCATGGCTGGCTCCAGCCTAACCCCCGCTCCCTCGCATGCCAGTCTGGGTAGGGCCAGCGGGGCTCTCTCTGGCGATAGTCCACACCCCCGGGCTCAGCCCTCCCGCTCCCACGTGGGTCATTCCTCGAGCAACTCACCCTGCCAGGGGGCCCGGACCACACCACGTCTTCCACCTCAAAGCGCCGCATGGCTGGGCTGGCGGGTGCTGAGCGCTGCGCCACCCACCTAGCCACAGACCGGCCCCCTGAGCAACCCTACAATAACAGACCGGCCCCCTGTGCAACCCTACAATAATAAACTGGTCCTCTGTGCAACCCTACGATAATTGACTGGCCCTCTGAGCAACTGCACAATAATAGAACTGTCCTCCCGAACAACCCTACAATAATAAACTGGTCCTCTGAGCAACCCTACAATAATAGACCGGCCCTCCCGAGCAACCCTACGATAACGGACTGGCCCCCTGAGCAACCTCACGATAATGGACCGGCCCTCCAAGCTTCCCTATGATAACAGATCAACCCCACCTCTTCCCTCCCAGCAACCCTCTGATAACAGACCAGCCCTTTGGAGCACCATTTCAACTATAATAACAAACCAGCGTTCCCAGGTGACCCTACAATAACAAAGGAGCGCTCCAGGCACCCTCACACAGCGAGCTTGCAGGTGAATAAATCCCGCTCTGAACTGTACGTCCCAGACCTCCGAAGGGTTCGTTATCCACAGCCCGTGATGTTCCAGCTGAGCCGCCAGCCCCTTTAACCACCCTGACCCCCAGCTGACCCCTGACCCCCAGCAAACCCTCCTCCGTGATCCTGCCGCCCCCTCAACTGCCCCCCCATATCAGGAGCCTGCCCCAGGCTGGCTCCGAGATCCCATCCCTGCCAGCCCTTTGTCCCAGTGACGCATGATAAACACCCAGAATTTGATTTCCTGGCAGAACCCTTTGTGCTAACGACTCGGTGGGTGAAACTGCCCCCGGGGAGGGGCCCATGCCTGGGAGCGCTGGCCAGGCCGGCCCCATGGGGCACCCCCCAGCCCAGCCCTGCTGCCCACCGCCTGCCCGCTGGCCATTGTTCAAAGGAGAGGCTCTCCCGGGAAGAAGCAATCAGCTAATGGCGCTGCCCTCCTGCCATCAATCGCGAGGACAAGCAGCTGTACTGGAAAAATTACTCTTATCCCATTGGGTCGGCCCGACCCTTCTAACCTCGCCAGGCTGGGGAGGGGGGCTGCCTCAGTGGGGATGGGGGGGGCTTTCTGGAGCTGCTGGGTCTTAGCTCACCACCCCTAAAGCCACAGGGGCTTTTACTGTTGTGCTGTGCGTGCGCTGCTGCCGGCCTCCTCCCCAGAGTTGGCTGCATTACCCTGGTGCTCGCCAAGGGCTCTGGTATCTTCAGGGTGCTGGGGAAGCGTATGATACTGAGAAATGCTCTCCAGCCCTCTGTCCCCCAGCCCTAAGCCCATCCCTCTGGGCTCGCCAGGCTCTGTGACTGGGGCACCGGCACTGGGAACAGACCGAGCCGGTTGGTCTTGCTGAATCGTTTGGTGGGGGGATTAATGCAGGTAAATCTGGCCCCGTTGTCTAATGGGCAGGGCACTGGGCTGGGTCTCAGGAGACCTGGCTTCTGTTCCCACTGCCCTGCTTGGGCCCCTTCTGTGCCTCAGTTTCCCCTCCCACCGTCCGTCTGTCCTGTTTCGATTGTGAGCTCGGTGGGGCAGGCGCAGTCCCTCGCTCCCTGTGTAGCGCCCAGCCTGACCTGGCCCTGATTTCTGGGTGCTCCCGTAACACAGATCGTAACAGTGAGGCCACGTCTGTCCAGCG